AAATTGAGCAGAAAGATAAAAGGATTAGATAACACCTATTCATAGGTTTATGGGGCAATTCTTATGGAATCAGGCCCTTTGGAAATTATAATAATTAATATTCGCAACAAAGATTGCAGGTAGATATTATTTTTCAGCTATCTCAGATGAGAGAACAGAGATGTAAATAGCAAAAACACAAAAACCTAGGCTAAAGTCAACAAGCAGAAAGTGGCAAACCCAGAACCTTTGCTCATCTCACTGTGTTGGAGCATCATGAATTTCATCTTGACCCTGAGGTAGCACAGAGTGGTCCCATTCTCTCCTTCACCCACAGCACCGTGACCACCAACACCTGGATTAGATCTTCATGACGCCGTTTCCTTCCCTACCTTGGAAGGGCCGTTGGTTCCCAGAATCGGCATTGGCTGCGAAGCTGCAGGTGGTGGAGGAGGGGCCCCGCCTGGCCAAGTCATTTCCATAGTAGAACCCTTGATCCAGCTGTGGTCTCAGACAATTGGGCGCCAGGGTGCTTGGCTCCAGCTGTGCCTGTGAAGCCTGCACCTCTGACAGGTGGTGGCTCAAGTCTCCACTCCAAGTCCCTTGGGGACAGTCTGCCTGGTTGTGAGCTAAAGGAGAAGGGGTTTCAGTAGGAACAATCTGAGTTTTCCCTTTGTTAAGCATGCCCAGAACACGCATCCCTGATGTCCCTGCTCTCAATAAAGCCACAGAGTGACCCAGGCCACACAGACAGACATCATGTAAATGCAGGCGATGTCACCTTTCCTGTCTGTGCCTGGGCACGCTGACAGGGCAAGTGCCCAGGCTGGGGTGTCCCTGAAGTGAAAAACCTCTGCTTTAGCCCAGAGGGCTTTGGATTGTCTAACAAGACCATCCAGATTATTCTTTTATTATTCATCTCCTTCCTGTGCCTAGAGGGAAAGTTCTAGAGAGCCCTCAGAGTGCAGGAGAGGAGGAGCTGTTTTTCTCCCCACACAGGGTTGTAAGAACAGGCCAAGAGTTAGAGCTGCGAGGTTTGAGAAAGGAACACGAGAGAAGGGGGCTGGGAGGGCTACAGACAAACCATACAGTGAGGCCAAAATTTCTGGCGTCTGGCGACATTTTGAAGTTTCCATCTGCCTATTAATGGTTTGACATCTATCTTTTCTCCCCCCCTCCTCCCCAACACACATATCGCGGTGAGGGGCATAAGTGGGTGTCAGCAGACAGAGGCACATGTAGGAGAGGGACCAGTCCCTTCCCGGAAATTCAGGGGCCACAAGAGCCACAGATCAGCATGTGCGGTTCCTTAGGAAGGTCACAGAGGACACGGTCCTCACATTACCCACTGGCCCAGTGGCGTTCGGGTGGCACCCCTTAAACAAATTCTTTCCATTTTCCCAGGGAGAGGAACACACATTCTGAGTGGACTAAGAAAAGACTTCCAGTGACCTCATGCCAGTCCAAGTCGGGTTCAGGATGGGGACTGGGTTTGCGGAGACGTGGTCTGCAGGGACAGAGCCTGCAGGGATGGGGCCTGCAGGGCGGGATCCAGGTGGCTGTGGGGCTCCTCTCTCTCCTCCCCTCTCCACATCCTCATTCTCTGCAAGGTTTTCTAAGTTTTCTTAAAAATGCCTCAGTGTCCTCAGCTCTACCATGGAGATGACACTGCCCACTTGGAAGTGTCCCTTGGGCCCTGAATGGGTTATAGCAGGACAGAGCTTGCTGGCAAAGTATACAGCTTGCTTGCAAAGGTGCAAGGTGCAAAAAATAAATTTTAATTGTTTTATGAATCACTGTGATCCTAGAAAAGCATTTGCTTTTTTTGAAACTCAGGAAGAAATGCAAAATGGGAAAGGGGATGGTCCCAGTAAGAAAGGCACTTACTGACCAAAATAGAATAGAGGCCAATGTCTTTGTTGCTAATTTCTTTCTCTGTGTGTGTGTGTGTGTGTGTCAGTGTGTGTGAGACACTGGGTCTCAGTTCACTGCTCAGGCTGGAGTGCAGTGGTGCATTCGTGGCTCACTGCTGCCTCAACTAACCAGGCTCAGGGGATTCTTCCACCTCAACCTCCGGAGAAGCTGGGAGTACGGGTGTTTACCACCATGCCCTGCTAATTCTTTTTTTGTGGAGACAGGATTTCACCATGTTACCCACACTGGTCTCAAACTCCTGAGCTCAGGTGATCCACCTCCTTGGCCTCCTAAAGTGCTGGAATTACAGGCGTGAATCACTACACCTGGCATTTTTGCTAATTTCATTACAACGTAATCCAATATACTGGGGGACATCACAGAGTTACTTGCTCTTACAAGAAGATAAAGTAATGGGTAAAAGCCCCAACAATGCCCATCAAATTCCCAGAATAGAGGTTAAAAAAAAAAAAAGAGAATGAGCAAGAAGAAATGAAAATTGGATTTTGTTTTTACACGTCCTGTGAAGCTGCTACCTCAAGGGGCACTTGCTCAGAGGCAGGGTTTTCTGGACGTCATGGGGACAGGAACCACTCTGCTTTGCTCATCGGTTACGCCAGAACCTCATGAGGGACACAAGTTGTCGATGGTTTTCATGAGAATATAGCACTGAGACCAAAACTTGATTGAAACTAGAAACCCACACGTGGAGAAAACCACTGGAGCTCTGCAGAGGATGCAAGCCTGACACGCGTAGAGGAAGGGACGCTGGACTGCGTCAGTGGAGGGAAGACCCCTCAGAGGAAGTAGAGCCGCAGTCCCCAACCTTTTTGGCACCAGGGTCTGGTTTCATGGAAGACTGTTTTTCAGGGACCAGGTTAGGGGGGATGGTTTTGGGATGATTCAGGTACATTACATTTACTGTGCACTTTATTTCTATAAATATTACATTGTAATATATAATGAAACAATTATACAACTCACCATAATGTAGAATCAGTGGGAGCCCTAAATTCGTTTTCCTGCAACTAGATGGTCTCATCTGGGGGTGACAGTCACTGGGAGCCAGTGACAAATCATCAGGCATTTGATTCTCATAAGGAAAGCACCATCCAGATTCCTGGCATGTGTACTTCACAATAGGGTTTGAGCTCCTGTGAGAATCTAATGCCCCTGCTGATCTGACAGGAGGTGGAATCCAGGCTGAAATGCTCTCCCAATGCTCACTTCCTGTGCTGCGGACCAGTTCCTAATAGGTCATGGACCCATAACGGCCCATAACCCCATGGCTGGGGATCCCTGAAGAAGAGAAACTAGCTTGGGACACAGGAATCATGAAACAGGCCTCCAAATAATTGGGCAAAACTCCCAGAATACCTGGATGGCCAGAGAAGAGATAAGGACATGTAATTAGCAACATAATTTCAGAAAAGACAGATGCCCTATCTTAAAGAAGGAGGTCTGTTATATAAATATCTCCAGCTGAGCTACTGTGGCCAAGAATTTGCAGTAAGCCCTCACCACTCCCCTCCCTGGCCTGTTTTGATAGCCACAGCCTGCTCTTGTGAGAAGGAGCCAGGTGACAGAGGAGTCACTTGGGACAGGAGAAGAGGACGTTCTACCAAGTGGATGTCTGTGCTTAAAACTGCATCCAAGAGACAGATTCAGAACAAGCTCAGTGTCTAGGGCCTGCTACAGAGATGGTCTGTCTCAGCTGCACAAGTTGCAGGAAACAAAACATATAGAGGCTGCCTGGGATGACAGTGGATCTTTGTGACCTCCAGGCTGGAGTACTCACAGGCTCCATCCAGAGCAGAGCAGGCAAACTGATCCTCCAATGAGTACAATGTGCTGCTATAAGGCTGGTGGCAGTCAGATAGGTCATGGTGAACTGAGGGAGTCAAGTAAACTTCATCCACGGAGTCCTCTGGCATTTCCTGCTCCTTCACCTCTGGCAGCTCCTGGCTGAGCCTGGGGTAAAGAAGACAGAAGATAAACATCAGAGAGAACCAACACCACTGCGCCCAGCTGGTTCTATAGGGAGGGCCTCAGGGAGGCCCAGAGGAAGCAAAGTATAGTCCCCTCAGAGAGATGCAACCATCCTTCCCTGTCTCAAGGAGGAGACACATCGTGACAGGCTGTCAGTGCACTGGGCAGGCAGTGATCTGGGGAGGAAGGTAATGGAGTGATCCCTGTAGGAAACTGCCAGGACACAGTGCATTCGGCACTTTTGCATACATTTTGTTGAAATTAGCATCAGTGGCCAAATGAATGCAGGCTCTTCAGTCTTCACAGACAGTGTTCCTGTATCCTCAACATCTCTTGTTCTCAACATTGTGAGCATGACATGAGTTATTTTAAATCACTTCCCTGGTATGGAATACTTGTAAACATGGTAATGCCAAAGAGGCAGACATCAGATGTGCAACTCAACTTCACTTTAAGCAAAAAGGACAGAAAAGGGAACTGCAGAAAATGTGTGACTGATGAGTTCAACAGAGTCAACTGAATGCAGATTAGTAGAATTGAAAGGAATTAATAAGGAAGAAATATAAATACAGGTGTACAATGAAAAGAGTCAACATAATGAATATGGCTATTTCATGGTTGACTGAACAGATGGAACAGGTATATTCTGTACACTCTGATTTTCCCTGCATCTGAGACTCCGGATATCAACACTGTATTAACTGTCCATGATTCCTCAGAGTTACCTGGGGCACGGCGGGTCTTGATCTTCTACCTCCTCTTGATCCTTTTGAATTTCTGTAAATACATTGACAAAGGGACAGACACATGAAGCAGGTTCCCCCACACACAAACAATGCACTGTGCAATCCTAACATAGGAACATCAGTTTCCTCAGTGAAAGAAAAGGACACTGTGAGAGAAATATTCCAGGAGACCTGAGGTCCTGTCATGAAATCTCCCTGTTCTAGTAGATCATTATCCCAACATCATCTGTTCTGATTTTGTGCCAACAGTTATGCAAAATTTTCACACCAATTGAAGGCAAATACTCCAGCTGCTTTCTAGAAGGAAAACTGTAATATTCAGCCTTCTATCATCAAATACTCACGTTGTTCATGGTTGCAAGGAGTTTAGACACTGAAATTAGAATGCAGGAGGGAATCTACACACCCTCCAATCAAAATGAATCTTTGGTACTACACAGAGACATTGGGTATTCGTGACATCTAGGAGTGACAAGGCCCAATCTTGTTTCTAGAAACATAACCAAAGGTAATGGACAGCTCAGCTAAAACAGGGTAACATTAAAGACATAGAGAATGAGGCTAGGTTCTTTGAAACCTGGTTAATATCTTTAACAAAAAGTAGACAAAGATGCCACTGGCCTTGGGCAGGCATAGAATCTCATAGCACATGGTTGGGGAAAGAAACCTGTAAGGAACACAATAGCTGGCAAGACAAATCTTATTCAGATTAAGAGACCTCACTGATACCTGTTGGGCACGTGCTGCGTAGGTTGGTGTGATTTTCTCAATGTCGTGACAGTGGGCCAGGGTGACACAGTCATGGTCTGAGATGAGGAAGAGAGCAAAGCTCACTGACCCACCCCATGTCTATGCTTCCAACTTGATTTTTGATGCTGATGCAAACTATCCTGTGTCTGTGGGTCATGCCCACACCAATGCCACGTCTCAGTCCAGCCAGTGATGTGAGGTGCAAGGATTATGGAGTCTACCTGGGATAACAACTGGAGATTTATCGTGTTCACAATGGAGTACTCACTGTCTACATGAGCCAAGCTGACTTGCTTTTCTTCAAAACAGTACGAAGTGCTCCCATAAGGGCAGTAGGAGTGAGGTAGTTCAGGAAGGATGGAAGGAGTCAAGCAACATCCATCCAGTGACTCCTGGGGGACTTCATGCTTGTCCACCCTCAGCAGTCCCCTGCTGAGCCTGTAAGGTAGGAAGGAGTAAGGATTAATCCAAGGAGTTTCAGAGCCCTGCTGGCTTCACGTGAGGCAGGAGGGAATGATGGCAGAAACAAATGGGGCAGCCCATTAAAGAGTTCAATATTCTCCTCTTCGTGGTGGGTCACAGTGTGGTTACCATGGGGTAGGTTGCAATACAGAGAGGGGGAAAGAGAGATGAGAGAGAGAAGCATCAGGAGCTCAGCAAAGTGCCCAGATCACGATTTTCTGAGGAAGGAGACTGAGTCTCTCTGTATGGTACAATCGTGACTCACTGAATATCCCGTTCCATAACGGTGGCTTCAGTCCTTTCTTTTAAATGGTATTAAATTTTATGTGCAGTGGCCAAGTAAACATAGGTTTTGTGGCATTATAGTATCCCTCAAATCGCAAGACATCAAGTCCTCTTTCTCTCAATATTGTGCATGGTATAACAATAATTTTTTTCTACCTAATTTCCTTGCCTTGAAATGCTCACCACTGTGCTAATGCAAAATCAGCAGAAAACAAATATGCATCTCAGGCTGATGGACACCATAAGAAGAAGATACTTACTTTAAGGAAATCTGTGTGACTGATTAGTTGTTCACAAGGTCAATTGGTTTTATGTACTGAACTTGAGAAGTTAATAAGAAATGGCAAACATTACAAGTATCACAATGAAAAATGTAAAACATGGTTAGAAAGGATCATTTCTGGTTGGCTGAAGGGATGAAGTAGTTATATTCAGGACTTTCTTGTTTTCTGTGGATATGAGTTCCACAGATACCACCCCTGAATAGACAGCCCCTGATTTTTCTCAATTACCTGGGATCAATTGTTTCTTGTCCTTTCACCTCTTCAAGATCATTTCGCTGTTCTGTAAATAAATTAAGAGAAGACCAGCCAGATGAACTTGATCACATTTATACATTCACAACCTTGTGTCCAAACCTACCTAGGGGCATAAATATACTCGGTGTGATAACAGGCTATTGTGAGAGAAACTTTCCAGGAGGCCTCAGGGTGAGCCTTGTGAGAAGTCACTAGGTTTGCTTTCCTGAGCCATGGAGCAAATCTCCCTGATGTGACAGTTCTTCATCACAGTCCCTTCTGTCCTGAGTCGCAGCAAATTGTTAACCATATCCTATTTACTAACAGATCCTGGAGATCTACTTAAATGCTTCCTAGCAGGTTACTGCAGTATTCAGTATGTTTCCTTCCGATAAGCTGTTTTTGGTGTTTTTGTAGAATGTACATTTAGAGGGACAGATTAAATCAAACGCATCTCTAATGCTACATGGAAACATAGGCCTTTCATGTGGCAGGGAGTTCCAGGGCCCAGCCTCCTTTCAGAAACATACAAAATCTAATAGTGGTGTCATGTTCTGGTACTCAGAGACTTCTTAGCTAAGACAAGCCTGCTAAAAGGGGAGGGAATCTAGCCTGAGAGAAGTGAACGAGGGTAGTGACAGCTCCAAGAATATAGATAAGGCTGCCAGTGGCCTTGGACAGGCAGAGAAACTCAGGTTGTTTGGGAGGGAAAATTAGAAGATTTCATGTGAGGTGACAGATGAAATCTAAATCAGGAGGACTGGTGGATACATCCTGCACCCAGGCTGCAGAGGTGGGTATGAATTTGTCAGGTCAACCTTGGGTACAGTGATTTGCCAATGGGGCAAAGATGAAAGACAATGTGTGGTTTTGGAGGAGGATGGAGTACAACTCTGACTCCTAGGATGCCTTCCTTCAAAATCCTAAAGCCTGGTTCTAACCAGTATATAAGCATAGTGTCTTCCTGAAGGTATGGCATCTCTCATTATGGTCAGATTGTGTGGTGGAAAGAATAGGGAGCCTACCTAGGAAGCCAAGTGAGGTCTCATCCCATTTGGAATTGGAGTAATCTTTGGCAACATCCTGAGTGGAGCAAACTTTCTCTTCATTCAGTGCCAGGAAAGAGACTTCACTATGCAGGTAATAGTTGGACATGTCATACTGTCTAGAATGAGACAAAACACATTCCCCTGTTAAGTCCTACAGGACTCCCTTCTCTTCAACATCCTGCAGCTTCCTGAGGAGCCGGGTAGGATAGGATTGACAGAAGATTAGACCAAGAGTGATTCAATACCACAGCATGTCATGTGATTTGATGGCACACAAATGGAGGGGTCATGGAAAGCGAAGGGGGAGTCTCCTCCAAGAGAGAAAACCCATCCTTCTAAATGTGGGGTGGATATGACTGTCCTGGAGACAGAGCAAACTGCAGCAGCAGGTGCTCAGTTCACTTGCCACAAACAGCTGCTGCAGGAAACCCAGACTCTCCCTGTAAACTAGCAGCATGACTTGCAGCAGAGAGAACTAACACAGGCCTTCACTTCCTTCACACAAATGGCGTTGACATTTACATGCAGCATCCAAGTGAACAGAGATGTTTGGGCATTTCAGACTCACAGATCCTGCATTTTTAAAGTCCTGTTTTTTTCAATGTTTTGACATATGAAATTTTTATTTTTAATTTTCTCGATTGCATTCAAGTACTTGCCAACATGCTGACACAAAACATACAGAAAACATATATGTATCTCACTCTGGATTAATCACATGGGAAACCACAGGTCAGATCAGGAAATCTCTGAGTTTGGTCTGTTCACCTGGCTAAAATGATTTTCAGTTCTTATGCTTGAGAGGGATTAAGAAATTGAAACCTATTGAAGTACCACAATAAAGAAGACAACATTGTGAAAGGGGTAATTTGCAGTTGGATGAATGGATGAGACAATTTGATTCATCACTTCGTATTTTCCCTGGATCCGTGGTGTCCAGGTGTCACTACTGAACTAACAGCCCACATATCCACAGTTACCTGGGGGGCACTGGCGCTTTCCCCTCCTCTTCCTCATGATCATTTTGATTTTCTGTAAACAAATTCAGAAGAGCAGGTCACAGTAAGGAAATCACACTTCACACAAGACCAAATCAATGTCCAGTCGTGGCGCAAGATATAAATATCCTCAGTGTTAGAATGTGACATTTTGAGAGGACCATTCTGACTTATTTTCAGAAGTAGATGAGCCTTCTTTCCAGATCCATGGGATAAAATCTCCCCCATCTGGTAGATCATAATCACCTCTCCTCGGACCTAAGTCTGCGCCAACAGTTAAAGAAAACTTTTCTCACAAGAATTCAAGAATTGCCCTAACTACTCTCCAGAAGTGTTGTTGCAATACCGATTTATCTCATCATATATCATGGTCAATGAATGGTTAGAGAAATTTACATAGAAGACTGAACTAATGGATAAATTCTAACAACCCTTGCGTAAAAAAGGATCTGTGGTGCTACACAGATACATTGGCCACTCATGGGGTGAAGAAGTCAGAGCCCAGCCTTGTTTAGGGAAACTTATAAGCAAGATAAAGGTAGAAGTGTTTATGTCCTGCTTTCAAGGTGACTGCTTAGCCGGGACAAGCTGACCTAAAGGAGACCAAGGCTGGGGCTGAGAACAGTGAATCCAGAGAAACATGTCCAAATACATAGGCAAGACTGTCAGCGGCTTGTGACAGGCATAGACACTCCATGGACATTATTATTGCAAGTGACAAGGGACACACGAACCGAGCCAGGAGGCCTGACAGCTACCTCCTGTATACAGGTGGCTATGACTTTGTCACACCTGCCTGTGGTCCAATATGCTAATATGGACCAATATGGACCAATATGCTAATATTGGGGCCAGGAAGACAAAGTCTTCCTGCCATGGGCCAAGGAGGCGAGGAAAGTTCTCTGACCCTCAAGTAACTGTGTTTATTATTCCATCATAGTGTCTTTCTTTCTTTTTCTTCTTTCTTCTTTTCTTTTCTTTTCCCTTCCCTTCCTTTCTCTCTCTCTGTCTCTGTCTCTCTTCTCTCTTCTCTCTCTCCCTCTCTTTCTGTTTCTTTTTTTGAGACAGAGCCTCACTCTCTCACTCAGGCTGGAGTGCAGTGGTATAATTATGGCTTACTGCAGCCTCTGCTTCCGGGGCTCAGGTGATTCTCCCCTCCTCAGTTGCCTGGGTAATTGGGATGACAGGCATGCACCACCATGTCTGTCTAGTTTTTCATATTCTTTTTAAAGGTGGGTTTAACCATGTTTCCCAAGCTGGTCTTGAACTTCTGAACTCAAGTGATCCACCCACCTGGGCCTCCCAAAGTGCTGGGATTATAGGTGTGAGCCACTGCATCCGGCTCCATTATAGTTTGTGATTCAAACCAATACATATGTATACAGCCTGTCCTTAGAATTGATCTTCCTCAACCTAGACAGAGGTGGGAGGGACAAAGAATAGAGAGGCTACCTGGGAGAATGGTTAGAGCTTCCTCCTCTTCATCATGAAAGCGTTCACTCTCTACAACCAGAGCAGAGTCAACTTTGTTTTCCTCAAATGTGATTTTGGTGCTCTTGTGAGGCTGGTTGGAGTTAGAAGGGTTGTGACTATTTGAACAAGTGACAGCACATTCCTCCAGTGAATTCTGAGGGACTTCCTTTTCTTCAGCCTTCTGCACCTCCCTGATGAGCCCAGTGGGATAGAGATGACAAAAGATTAATCCAAAAGTGATTGGAGCCCAAGAAGTCCTAGCTGGTTTTGAAAGGAGGCTTAAGGGAGTGGTCCCAGAATGCAAAGGAGAGGTTCCTTTTAAGAGGGAACAGGCAATCCTTTTCTGTCTGCAACAGAGCATGGCTGCCATGGGAACCAGAGAGGAAGTGAGCAGCTAGTGATCATTGCATTGGGTAGATAGGAGCTGAGCAGGATGGAGACTCAGTTGTCTCTGTATGGTACAGTCTTGACAGCACACACAGAGATCCAAAAACAGCTGCCACACTGTGTGTCTAAGCTGGGTTGTAGTTCACTGTGGCCACGGGAATACAGGTGTTGAAGTCATTGTGGACTCTAGAGATGGTGTGCCTTCTAGATTTTTTGTTTTAATTTTAATATTGTGACATGAAATGTAAATTTTTTTGTCTAAATACGTTTCTTCGTGTTCAACTTGGCTAGGTGCTTCCTATTTCCTCTGCTTGTTGCCTCTCTGTTATTTATCTTTACTAAAAGGAACCTAAAGACAACCGTGTATAAAGCAGCTTTGCATGTCCTCCTGACTTTCACTACAGAGAAGAAAAGTTCTCCTCTGTGTGTGCAGGAAGTCCCTAGGGCTGTGAGTTCATCTAGGGGCATGCTTCTGTGTACCATGAAGACAATGGACAAGCATGTTAACAGGGCTATTTCCTTGCTGGGTGAGTGCATGAAATCAGTGGACTCTGCAGGTTTCTTATCCTGCATCTGGAATCTGTGACTACCTTCACCCGCCTTGTGTTCTTTCTGAGACCTTTTCATATTTTACCACCCATTACCCGCTCCTGATTATTCAGTGTTACCTGGGGGCAGGTGATTCCTGTACTTTCTCAACCTCCTCATCCATCTCATCTTCATCTTCATCTTCATCATTTTCTGCAAATACAGAAGTGTCCATTCAGATGTGTCCCACTTCATCTACGTAAGTACAGTGAGCCATATGTGTACAGAGACATGAAGATCTATGTGTATGAGTCCACACTGTACTGAAAGCTCTCATGTTTTATCTCTAAAAAAATGCCCTGGCGTGTTTTCCTGATCCATGAGGCAATGCGTTTCTGATCTTGGGAGTCACCATCAAGATGTGGCCAAATATTGAAAAGACCTTTTGCTCTTCATATCACTGGAGTCTCGTCCAGGTTCTCTGAACTTCAGCAGCTGTCTCCCCAATTCTGCCACAGATCTGATTCCTAGGCACAGACTCTGGGTCCTGTCACAACTCGCATTTAGAACCTATATCTTTCTTTTAGAACAGGACAAACAACTTTGTCCCACAATATTCCATACATTACGGACTTCATTGGCCCTCCAAGTGGCTTCCATTGTGTTATCCAGGGACAACCTGTCCATGGGGAGTGATCCAGTCTAAACCAGTTCCTACCACCAAATGCTACCACATCAAGTGACTTCTCTAACACGACACAGTGAGGGGCTTTATCTCATTGTGAAATATAGTCATAAGTGTTCCTACATTTGAATGCCAGAGAGAATTTGTTTGCCTTCACAGAATCAGACATAGAAACCCAGGAAGGATAAATTAATCAGTTGCCCACAGTTGCTAAGGACGTCGTTGAAGATAGAGCCTGGGAACCTTCACTCTTAGTCTGGGTCTCTTTTCACTCTAACAAGCTGCCTCCTGTCACAGCCTCCTTCCAGTCCTTTAAAACTGGACGAATCTTGCTCCAAAGACCATGTTCCATCAAGAAAGGAGAAGACCTTTGCAATACCGTGACCTCCAACCCCATGGGTTTCCCATCTCTATTTCTACTCAGGAAGTCCTGGTCATGTCATGGCCACAAATGTTTACTGGAAAGATACACTACCCATAAAGTTGTCATTGTGGAGGTGTGGAGGTCTGGGGACTTCCATAAGCCTAGAGCTGTGTGTCATCAGGGCCTGTGGCCACCTCACCTGGGCTCAGCTTGTGAACAAGGTGCTCTGCCAGCCTGTGCCCCTCAGCCAGCTGCTCTCGGAGGTCCTGACCCTGGGACTTTTCAAGGTCATCAGGAGCGAGGAGGGCCTTGAAATGCTGATTCAGTGAGCGGGAGGCATCTCTCCCTTCCTGTAACTTCTCCCGTAACTGGGTCAGCTCTCGTGCCTGAGAGTGAACCAGGGCTTTATATTGCCTAAGGTGAGATAGTAGAGAACATTTAATAATGGAAAGGGATGAGTGATCAGGTCTAATACTGCAACAGAGGTTTCTTTCAGAATGTCCCCAAGGAGACCTCCAAGTAGAAAGTCAGAACATGTTTGGGGAGATATCTGTGGCCAAGAGAAAGAAGAATATATGTGTTTGTATACACATACACACACATATACACACACACATATATATATACATACATATACATATATATACACACACACACACAAAGAGCCTTCTGATATATCAGAGAGTGCTTCTGTAAGATCCTCAATAATGTTCCATTCACCTTTTTCTTCTGTAAACAAAAGTCGATGTCTTCCTAAATCAGTTCCACAAGAATGTCCTTTGAGTTCCTCACTTTGGCCATGGGCATCTCTATGTGAAAATTCACTTAGCGCATCTTGCAGTGACTAGACACAAGCCATGCACAGAAATGTGGCCAGGTGCAGATGGGGTGAATTGAAAAGATTAAAGAAGAAAAGAATGACAGGGTCAAGAAGGCAACACTGATTGAATGAATGAAACGCCGCAGTCAGTCACGAGGTGATTCTGACTAAGAGTAAAGGTGGTGGTGATCTCACACCATTTTGAGTATCCTAAATGCTTCTGAGTGGTTCACTTGTTTTTGGTTTATTTTGTGTTATGCAAATTTGACCTAAACAATTAGTGTCTTCAAGAAGAGAAAACAAGGCTTAAGAAACAACTGCAATCAATAACTTACTAAGATGACTGTTCTCTGTTTTATAAATGTTTGTGTGATATGTTCCTGCCATGTAAATGCCTGCCCTTGTCCTGGCCCAGCTTAGCTCTTAGTTCTCCCAGCTGAGTTGCTGCACTTCAGAGATTCACACTCCTGCCCCTCTGCCTGCCCCCAATGGGGCCTACTCACCCGAGCTCCTCAGCTTGTCTGAGCTTCTCTGCCAGCTTCTCCACGAACTGCAGTTCATCCCTCAGCACAGAGTCTATGATGTCTTTGTACTCTTCACACTCTGAGAAAAGACAGACATGCCTGCCTCAGTGGAAGGCTGGACATGCTGCTGGGATCACTGCCTACAGGGCAGGTGGCAGCATCCATCCCAAGGATGAAAGCAGCCCCAGTACCAGGCTCCAGGCAGGCATTTCCACATCTTTATTTATCAACCTCCCAACTTTCTGTTATCTGATACTCCCCAACTTAGAGATGGGAAGAAAGAAACTCAAGGGCCCATCAAGTAGCTTGAGAAGATGATTCACCTGGAACAAGGCAGAGTCAGAATTCACAGCTCCTGAGGTCTGACTCTGAATCTTGGGTCACTTCCCCAAGCCTTGCAGCCTCTCCTGTAAAACACTGCGCTGGGGCATGAAGTAATGATATCCTGCACAGTCGGAAAGACCCTTAGCACTATGGGGCTCCTGGTTTCCCTTGTACCGGGAATTTCAAGTGCAAATATATGAAACATGTAAAAAATCATATCTGTATATAATTGCATAAAATATGAGGCATAAGACTATGGGGCAACAATAGAAATATGCCCAAATACTAATAAAGTTTGAATTAAGTTTGAAACAGTAGAATGAAGAACTAACAGAGAGTGTTTTCTCTGTTCCAAGAACTGTTCTAGAAAATGTACAAGCAATAGGTCATGTAATTCATTGCAGTAATTTATAGAGGTAGGTATTATTATAGTACCCAATGAACAGATGAGGAAACTGAGGCACAGAGAAGATAGGCAACTTGGATGGAGCCCAGGAGACTGGCCCAGGGTCTCTGCTCTGCACACTACACTGCTACCTCCACAATGTCTTATGTGCCAGCTTTCTTCCTCTTTAGGAACAAGATCCTGTGCCCCAGGAAGCAGGGCTTCCCTCTTACTGGGACACTCCCTGCTTTGAATGGTGTCACAGATACCACAGTTTCTGTTAGGAGCAGTCTTTTCTTTGAGGTCCTTAGAGTGGGTACAGTGTACGGTTGCCACATTTCCCCCAAGAGTCCCCAGGACGAAGCTTTGCCTATTGGGCCTCAAAGAAGCTCGAACTGAATGGAAGTTCATTAGTCCCAGATATTTCGACCAACAGACTAGATGTTATATGTCTGCA